TACTGCACGTGGGCCACCCGCGGCATTTCAAAAATACACATTCTATAGATTTTAATAAATATTAAAATGAACTACGATCAGACTAATCCAGTACATTATTCATCTAAATTGTCCCACTCAATATGGCCACCGCTTGCGCCCATATTGAGTGGGGCACTCAGATTAATAACGTGCTGGATTAGTCTGATCGTAGTTCATTTTAATATTTATTAAAATCTATAGAATGTGTATTTTTGAAATGCCGCGGGTGGCCCACGTGCAGTACAGCCTTCTCGGCCAATCCCCTTACTTCTAAGTAAGTCAGGTCGTTGGAGATCTTGAGGAGTTGGAGTTTTCGACAGAACACCGGCTGCCTTTCTGAAAGGCCGCTAAATAGTTGGGCTCCTAGAACTCCCCCCCGCTGTCCTCTGCACTCTACATCTCTGTAGATCACACTGCTGGCCTCTGCGTCACACCGCTGAACTCAGCACTGTGTGTCACAGCGCTGCACTCTGCGTCACAGTGCTTCTTACGGGGCTTCCACCGGCTGCCTATCTTTCCCTCCTGAGACCCTTTGTCCGAGACTTCACGCTGGTACCCCGGAGCAGAGCGACAGCACAAAGTATGTACCAAATTCATATACTATTATTCTGCATTGCTATATAAAGTTTTGCAGGGATTTTTAGTCCTCTATAGCTGATGGTATTATTCTGCATTAGAGTGTAAGCTCCTCTGTACAGAGACTTTCTCTGTACAGCACTGCGGTATATGTCAGGGCTTTATAAATGTATAATAATAGTGTGTGACTGCGGAAGACATTACAGTGTTAGCTACTTTAGTGCAGAGAATGCCAGGGGGGTTGGGGGGCCAGTGAGATCCGATTCTCTATAGCAATATGTCTGTGAAGGTTCTCATTCATCCAGGTCATGGTATAGCTGTCAAAAATAAGTCAAGGCAACTGGACTTTCTGTATTTTTCTTGAAGACGTTTCACTGGTCATCCAACCAGCTTTCTCAATTCAGAAATTTCTGAATTGAGAAAGCTGGTTGGATGACTAGTAAAACGTCTTCAAGTAAAATACAGCGAGTCCAGTTGCCTTGACTTATTTTTTACAGATATTCTCTATAGCAAGCTTCCTACATTGTTGCAAGGTTTGTGTATTGGTTGTAGCAAGGCTTGTGTGTCAGCTGTAGCCCTCCGGTACTTACTAGTGGCCGGCCCTGCCCCTCGATTGCGCTTGTGTTTGGCTCCACCCCCTGATGTGAGGGGTGGGGCCTGTTGGTGGTCACGTGATTCGGCTGCTCAGTCTAAAATGCCCGGGCCTATTTTTAGTCCCAGTCCGGCCCCGATTATAGCCCAACCCCTGTTTGATATATCTGACCCATTATATTCCATCTTTCCCTCCCCCCTTGATCCTAGTTAAATACTCCTCCAACTCTCCTCATCATGGGGAAATTTGCTCTCCTGAAGTTAAGTGTTTTTATTTTTCCAGTATGTGAATGTTGTTTACAACTTAAGCTAAATGAAATCATATTATGGTCACTGCTACCCAGATGTTCTTTTATATGAATATTTGTAATAAGCTCTGCATTGTTTGAGATTACCAGATCCAGCAGAGCATTATTTCTAGTTGGGGCTTCGACAAACTATACCATAAAATTATCATGTAATAAGTTTATAAATGTCCGGCCTTTTACTGTTCCAGCAGTGCCATTATGCCAGTCAATGTCAGGATAATTAAAATCTCCCATTAATACTACTGTCCCCGCCCTTGCAGCCCTTTCTATTTGTTTAAGGAGCTGAGTCTCTATCTCTTCAGTAATGCTGGGGGGTCTGTAACAAACTCCAACAATTACCTTTGCGTTATGCATACCAGTATACAACTCCACCCATAACGCCTCAGCACCATCACACTCACCATCAACAAAGTCCTCTTTCACACTCACTTTAAGATCACTCCTCACAGAGACAAACCCGGCCACCTTTTCGTTTTTCCCTGTCTCTTCGAAAGAGAGTATAACCAGGAATATTAACAGCCCAATCATGTGAAGAACCAAGCCAAGATTCAGCAATACCAATGATGTCATAGTTCTCCTCATGCACCAAAGCTTCCAGTTCTCCCATTTTGCTGTATCTTTTGCTGTAGTACAATCAGTACCATCATCGCCAATGTTTGTGTGCAACATGGGAATTTCCTTATCTAGTTTGATTTCCCTCCCCCCATCTTCCCCTGCTCCACCCTCCATTATAGCCCAACCCCTGTTTGACATATCTGACCCATTATATTCCATCTTTCCCTCCCCCCTTGATCCTAGTTTAAATACTCCTCCAACCCTCCCATGAACCTCTCCCCTAGCACAGCAGCCCCCCTTCCATTTAGGTGCAGACCATCTTTAGCATATAGGTTGTACCCCAATGAAAAGTCAGCCCAGTGCTCTAGAAACCCAAAGCCTTCCCTCCTACACCAGGTCTTCAGCCATGCATTTAGTTCTCTAAGCTCCCGCTGTCTGTCCTGCATTGCGCATGGCACAGGCAATATTCCAGAGAATATTACCTTGGAGGTCCTTCCCTTCAGCTTGCAACCTAGTTCTTTAAATTGATTTTTAAGGATCCTCCATCTTCCATATAGTCTGTCATTCGTCCCAACATGGACCAAGACAGCTGGGTCATGCCCAGTAATTTGTCCACCTGGTCCACCACATGCCGAACCCTGGCACAAGGGAGACAGCAAAGCGACAAACTATTCTATCAGTCCTCCGAATTATAGAATCCCCTATTACCACAACCTGTCTAGGCCTTCCTTCAATACCCTCACCACCCGGACTAGATGTGCTGCTCTCCCGGCTGTTAGGGGTAGCAGTGACATCTAGGGCTGCCAATTCTGAGTCTGAGACCCGCACATCTTCACCCAACTTAGCAAATTTGTTTGGGTGCACAAACACAGGATTGGCCTTCCTCTTCTGTGAGCCCCTGCCACTCCCTCTAGCTACAGTAACCCAGCTTCCTACCTGATCATCCTCACTTAGTCCTCCACATCAACCCCATTAACTGCCTGCTCAGTGATCAGCAGACTCCTCTCAAGGTTGTCAAGTCTCCTCAAGTTACCCGACCCAAGAAAGATCGAGCAGGTAGCCAATCCTATAATATCAATTTCTGTACACAATACAATGACAGAGCTTTTAAGATCACCAGAATCCTTAAAAACCACTGGTGTATTCTCAGGGAGGATCCACTCTTTAGGAAATCTCTTCCTAAATTTCCCAATGTGATTTTTAAAAGACCTCCTGAGTATGTTAGCTCCCAGCAAATTCATATCCACCAGAAATCTTAATTTAGGTAAAGGGCTGTTTGGCTGCTTCAAATGCAACGTTCATAGTTGCGGAGCCTGTCCATACTTCTGGCACAGAAAGAAGGAAGTTTCCAACCCTAGTGGCAAAAGCTTTCCCATCCGACAATGTATTAATTGTGCCACACAGTATGTCATCTACGGCATTATCTGCCCCTGCGGGAAACTATACGTGGGGCGGACCATTAGGACATTGAGGACCAAATTTGGGGAGCATAAGAGGAAGATCATAAAAAAGGTGGCCGAACATTCACTATCATCACAGCCTACCTTGCTGGCACACAGGCACGGCTGTGCAGCTATCACTGGCTTCTTCTTTGGTCCATGTATTCACTTACAATGCTTTAATCATGTCGACCTTTGTGAGTATGTTTCTCATCCACTATTGGTTTTATCTTAAATACATTTATCTGCACCAGGAAAGGCGCCCCTTGTTTGTGCTTTTTCCCCAGATTTTGCAGTCCCCCTGGCTGGTTTGGGGCAGCGTCCTGCAGATTTTCTAGGACATCCCTCTCTTTTAAAACAGACTTTGCACTCAATGGCACACTTTTTATTCTGGTGGAGCAGTCCCATTTGGCGCTTTTTTTGTTCATATCTACAGTATACTATTATATGTCCACAAAACATAAATAATTGTGAGACAACATTGCCACCAACTAATTCAGAAGTCTATACAGACTTCTCAACAGTATTTTAATGGAAAAAAGCTGCACTGTTTTTCACCGACATAGAATTACTGGACTAATTACCAGGTTGAATGATACAGCAAAATGCAATTGTATCACACCACCCTGAACTGAAACGTGTAAAAATTTTACTTACAGAAAGAGTTGTGGAAGCTGCATAAATCAAGACTATATACATATAAAAGCTGCATAAATCAAGACTATATAAAAAGGCATATCCATTTTGTTGGCAAGAGTCGCAGTTACCTGTTCCTTATTTGGAAGAAAACACTGGTGAGAAATCCATGCAAAATGAGCTAATTTTATTTTGTCTTCCCAAGGAATTTTGGCATTTTTCAGTTTTGTGTGGATTCCAGAATAGAGTGCAGACATTTTCCAAGTCTCTTTCAATCTAAAAGTAAAAAGAAATAATTGAAAGGTCGTTTTTCAATCAATATGTTACGATGTCAATCAATTTCACTCTCAAAAAACATCAGCTGTATCCTATTGTTACATACAATAAAAATGTAATGTTTGTTTAATGTTTACGTCTTTATCGCCAAATGCATCCAATTAACTTTTGGGCCTCATGAGAATTAAAAAGGAACAATATGGCTTGCAGCCAATCATCTGCAAGCTCCATTTGGGTATTCTGACAGCAGTCTCCGGTCACTGTCGAAATACAATGCAAAACAACAGGGGATTGAGGAGCGTGGATGGAGGAATCGGTTATATTTTCTTTGTATAGCCTGCAGGTTGAACAAAGAAATTGAAATAGTGCATGGCCAGATTAAGTCGGGTGGGCAAGGGCACAAATTAGCACAAAGGTGACTATTTCACAGTTAATAGATAATGAATAAAATGAATTTGCATTCGCTTATGTAAGCACTTGATGCTTGCACAGTGATCGCAAATGTCATCCAGATCATCCAATGCCATTGTTGCGACTTGGTAATTAAAGTGGAATAAAACTTAAAAAAAATAATTAAAATAACTGCTATACATGTTATATTGGCAGAAAAGATGCACCAAGCTTTTTCTGCCCCAAAACAGCTGCTTCTAATTTCAGGCAGTGTTTATCTTGTTTTGGAGCATGCACTTTACAGTGTACTACCCCGGGTGCCTGGAATAAACACAGGTGCCGAGGACGATGTGACTCCTGTGTGAATGCGCTGAAGTTATGTCATCACAAGCAATCCAAGGAACAAAGAGAATGACGGGATCCTCAAAAAACTGGGGGTTATGACAGCAGCAGTGGAGAGAGCAGCAGCTGACAGAATAGATCCGTCAGTGCTGGATGATAGCACACTTGTCATGTAAGTGTCCTATGCTGTGCATACTTGCATATTATGGCAAGAGCCCACCTGCCACTGCGGACCTTACTTTCACTTTAAAAGAGAACTATTAGGAGAGTAAAATATACTCTTCCCAATAGTTAGAGCCAGTGTGTGACACGTCAGGTGTCACATGCCAGCTCTATAGCTCGAGAACTGAGTGATCACAGACTGCTGTGAGCTCAGCTCACAGCTTCTGCCTGCAAGGTGCGCTGACTGAAAGTCACCACTCCCTTCAGGGATTACCCCCTTCCCATCTCTCCAGTGTTCATTGGAGAAGGACAAGTGAAGGGTGGGAACAGCTGACTTTGGCTCTAGAGAGGCAGAGCAAGCTGTCAATCAGGTAGCAGGGGTGGATCCCGACAATGTTGTCGGGATCCTTCCCTGCTGCAGTCAGCGTGCTGTGCTTTAAGCATATAAAAAGGCAATATTCCACTATATGTGGAGTTTGGGTCTCACAAGTATATTAGTAAATGTACTCCTGTGACTCAAAAGAGAATTATAGCCAAAAAAAAGGTTTGGCTATAGTTCTCTTTTAATTGGGGAAGGAATGTTTTTATTTGGCTTTATGCACACAGACGCTTTTGTCCATACCATATAGAATTCTGGTGTTTTTTTATTTTCACCCTGAAAGCACAGGTGCTGCATACAGCTGCCCATAGAAATGAATGGCTGTGTGTCGCTGTATGCAAGTATACGCCAGTGCAGACTTTCCGCATAAGGGGAATACAAAAGTTGCATTCGTGTCCATGGCTGAAGCGCTCTGAGGGCAGAAATCAGTATAACAGCACACGGACAATCCAAGAAAATCATAGAAGGAAGACTTTTGCCTTTAGCTCAATGTAATGGTGTGCACCATCCCTTAGTAGGGACGCTGGAAGCTAACTATACCTAACGAACACACAAAAACAACTCAGCGTTTGCAGTCCTGGCACAAGCAATACATGTCAATCTGATTTCTGATTAATAGCACGCACACAACAACATGAACACGTCTATAAGTATCCACTGCACTACTTACATATCACTAGCACTCACATGCCGGAAATGAGTCCCAGTGTAGCTGCACGTGGCCTCCAGGAAGAGAGGACGGACCTGATAGCAATCACGTGACTGAGTCGTATGAGGAGGGGAGGAGTCTAGTGAGCGCCATGCCAGGGCAGTGGGTGGTTGCTTTCAGTACTCTTCCTAGTTAGACAGTCATTAGTAGAAAAGTAAAGCTGGTGCTTTGGAGTCGGGACTAGAGATGCCTATTTAGTGGTGTACAGCGGTGTAATGATACCATAATGAACGTGTAGGTCAGGAGTTGCGTGTTTGCATGCTTTTACCAAGGTATAGCTATGCCCGCGGCTCCTTCTTGCTTTTTCACGTAGTTCACCATGGGGATGAGAAGGGTTGTCATTGTGTATGTAGGAAAAGGATACCTAATGCATACGGGCCTCCTGTTAAACACAGGAAACGTTATCTGGGAAACGGCCACCATTAGAAATCATGGGGCCCCCATACAGCCTACATGGCTATGCTAGGTGTGTGCGTTCCCTGCCAAAGGCATGCTTGCTCTTGTGGTCCCCCCACAGTCTTACACTATTATTATAGATTTGTATAACTCTGACATATACCACAGTCCTGTACCGAGAACACTAAGGCCTTGTTCTCACCAAATGCAGAGCAGATCCGGTCAGGTTTCTGCACACGCACACTAGTCTTTTTGATGCGTTTTTAGCTAAAATTCTTTTTTTTTTTTTAAAGTTTAAAATGGCCTTTCAGTGCGTTCCAGTCATTTGCATGCATTTGCAGATCCAGAGCCGGGAAAATAGGGCCTGCTGCAGTTTTTTCATCTGCTCTGGAACTGCAGCAAAAAATACCATTGGAATACATTGGCCTTGTTCACACCAAGCGCAGAGCAGATCAGTTGCAGACCGGATCAAAACTGCGTCCAATGTATTCCAATGGTATTTTTTGCTCCAGTTCACACTGCAGCGTGCAGTTCCAGAGCAGGTGAAAAAACTGCAACAGGCCCTATTTTGCCTGCTCTGGATCTAAAAACGCATGCAAATGCCTGGAACGCACTGAAAGCCCATTTTAAACTTTTTAAAAAAAACAGCATCAAAAACGCATCTAAAAGACTAGCGTGCGTGTGCAGAAACCTGACCGGATCTGCTCTGCATTTGGTGTAAACAAGGCCTAAGCCAGTCACATTAGTGTCTGTACAGAGGAGCTTACACTCTAATGCAGAATGGTACTGGCTGTAGGGGACTACAAATCCCAGCAATACATAACAGTATATGAATTGGGCTCAGGGCTTAGTGACATACTAGACTCAGGGCTTAGTAATGCACTGAACTTGGTAAGGCACTGGAATCAGGGCTTGGTAATGCACTCCACTCGGTGTTTGGTAACGCGCCAGACTTGGGACCCACCTGAGTCCCCACACGGCCCACCTGAGAGTGACCCTGCCTAGCACACCATAGATCCTGCACAGCCAATCTGAGACTTTTTATGGTAGGCTCTGCCGGGTCTCAGGTGGGCTGGTCACGCAGCTCCTCTTACCTGCTTGCGCTGCTGGGCCTCGACGTCCAGACCAGTGCTGCCTGGGCCCAGCCTCCTCTGCTGCTGGAGCCTGGCCACCTCCCCCCCACTATCAGTGGGCCCCAATTACCCATAAACAATTATGTTTCCTAGATTACTTTTTCCTGTGTTTTTAGAAGTTCCAGGGTTGAGCTGCATTTAGCGTGTTTAGCCGTGTTAAAGCAGGTTGAATGGTCCTCAGATGTGGATTGAAGAGTAAATTTAAAGGTGAATTTCATCTTTAACTCCATATTAAAGTAGAGTTCCGGACATATTTTTTCTTAAAGTTGCAGTGGGGCTACCCCTACACTGCAAGGGTTAAGTGCTCGTTTTTTGTCTACGTAGTTATTCACCTGAACCTCGCAGCCGACTGACTACTAGACCGGTCTCTTCAGCCGGCTCCAGCGGTGGAATAGTGTATAGGAGGTAATGACTCACTGGCCTACCAGAGCGGAGGGAAAGCGAGGCTGCAGATCTGTGACACACAAACAAGAAACAGATCAGGTGCAATGAAGATCTGTGACAGTACTGACACTAAATGTCCTGCACCATCGCAAACTATAAGGAATGGGAGAGAGCGGTGATCTGCTTCCAAAAAGCTGGTATGCATGGCCTTGCCGCACGGATTAGGTGGATCCCCAGGGAGGATTTATATTATTACATTGGGAGGAGATATAGGGCCAGAATATTACCAAGGGAGAGGTCAGTGATGCAGTGTAGTGTTTATATCTTATTCCCAAAATTGCTGGACAATCCCAGGAAATATGCAAAATAGAGCTGCAGACATTCTCACAATGCCAGCATTCTGGGAGTTTTGTGTGCAAGAGTACCTTTTACACCTGCTCCTGAAATGTGTTTGCCTTTGGCAATGTATGAGAAAACAAGAGAATCTTTTCTCTCTGTGGAACAGTGAAATAATTTTTAGGACAGTCTCCCATTTTCCCATGTAGGCTGGGGTAAAGTCCTCAGATGAGGTAGTGAGGTCATTATATAATCAAGGAAACAGAAAATGTACAGAGTCTCCAAGAACTGGTAAGGTATCAGTGGAAAACATCTGTGTGTAGAATGGAAGAGAAAAAGTAGGGCTGCGGAAATTAACGATTAATTTCTCGATTAAACTTTTTGATCGATTAAAATTATTTTGATCGCTAATGAAAACACTCACCTCTCCGCCGGCTTCCGGGAGTTCCGTCGGAGATCCGGTGAAGTCACGGACATCGACGTCACCGGACTCCTCCCCCCTTCCCCAAGTGGCTCCGTTGTCTAACGTCGGCGACTCCTCCCCCCTTCCTTTTGTTAGCCGACGAAGCCACTTGGGCCGGTGAGTTTGCCCAAGAAACTTTCTGCACGAGCGCCAGCCAAGGCATTGGCCTATACACATACAGCACAGAAATTAAGTAATAAAATGAACTAGGATCACACTAATCCAGCACGTTATTATTCTGACTTGCCCCACTCAAGCGGCGACCATATTGAGTGGGGCACGTGAGATTAATAACGTGCTGGATTAGTGTGATCCTAGTTCATTTTATTACTTCATTGCTGTGCTGTATGTGTATAGGCCAATGTAGTTGGATCTGTATATGCAACTCGATAAAAAAAAATTCAATTAATCGAACACAAAAATGTTAATCAGTTTCAGCCCTAATAAAAAGTGATGGAACTGGAAAGTGATGGGAGCTCCAGGTGTTGAGAGAAGGGTCTGATAGATTCTTGCAGGATTAGAGTTTTTATATACTGCACCAGATCTCCCATATAATTTTTTTGTCACTGATCTCGCCGTTTCCTTTACCATCCTATTCCACTATCGCAGATCCTTGATGCCCAATTTACACAGTAAGGAAACACCTTTCTAATGTTACATGTTTTCAGATAAGCTTGTTTAAATACAAAATACTGCAAAGGACCACCACTTTCACTGCTACTCTGCTTCCTGCTTGTGAATACAAATTATTAACTCAGGAAGGTGCAGATTTATTCCTGCTTCCTGTCTGATAACTATTTAATATCTGGCCACTGGAGGTCACCTGGATGTGGCAAGCTCTTCTTACCTTTTAACCAATGTTTCTGCCTAAAACTATTTATTGAAGTCATAGCAGGTCAGCCACCTCCACAGACATTACTGAAAACCCCGGTGCCTGAATATACAGGAAATCAACGTGAGCAGGGGCCCTGACAGCAGCCTACCTGTTACTGTATTGGATGTTTGCCTCTCTATTTGACAAACAGAAAAAATAATTCCCATTAAGGAACAAGTAGCATTGAGATAATCTCTGCACCCCAGTATATTGTTGGAGCCCTCAAATTACTTCTTTGCCCAAGTGGTCACTTTTGCTATCTTACAATACAAAACACACAATGGGCTCACTTTACAGACACCAAACACAACAGCATAGGGTGTGGTTCTTTTCTGCCAAGTCTTTGGTTGATTTGAAAAGTACAGGCCCATGACTACAAATAAAGATATTTATCCTTGTGTTAAAGCTCTGTGTGGTGTGAGAAAGTTGTGAAACAAAATATTCTTGTGGCCAGGCAGCAACTGTGAAGCCAAATTACTGCATTTTGTGTGAGCCTTGCTGCAGCAGTCGAACACAGCTCCTGCGGAGTAAAGCTGGGTACACATGGAGCCAATTTCGACCGATCGCACTGCACAAAAACAGACCAGAATGTAAAGGGAAGGGCAGCTCAAATAGGATGGTATCCACTTGTACTGTAATTGCAGTCTAACAATCTTTGTTTGAATAGAGGGCAGTTGTGCATGAACGATGGCATCTAAATCTGAAATTCCACCATGTATAGTGACCAAGACACCAACCCTGCTTGCAGAATAGTAATCCACAGGGATTATGTCATTTGTGTGCTGGTGTTCCTTCCCTGTCCAATCAGCAGGCTGGGGTAGTGTATGTGATACGAAGATGAAATTCAGTAGCCTTATTCTACCTAGATCACCTTGATACCCAGAGCATTTTTTTGTTTGTTTCAGCAATATCTGTTCTGCAGATTAGATAGCTAATGTGGGTACATAGATTTTAAATTCCTTGGTTTTTATTGGGGGGGAAAAATAGTAAGTTAAACAAAATGCATTTTGCTGTAATCTTTCCCAATGCAACATTTGCATAATTTGCGCATCTCCAAATATTTACAACAATGTATGCTGCTTAAAATTATATCACAGTAGAGTGACTTATGTAATGTAGCAGACTAGTAAAGTTCAAAGCGAACATTAGCATTTTACTTTAGGAAAGCTTCATTAGCCATTCAACACTGCAGTGTGACTGCGATTTTAAAATTGTGACTAGGATTCTGATTATTGCCTGCAGTTCTGCATTATTGTGAGACTAACGGGCAGATATCTTAGGCCAGGATCACACTTGTGCGATTCGTGGCCCCGCAGTCACGGAATCACACCACCGCTGATAACGCTGGCGGTGCCATTCCTTTCTAATGGCACCCCCGCCGCACCAGGCAGATGGCGCGGTTTCCCGCCGCTATTCCACCTGTGCAATC